TAAGTCTTTAAAATAGGTCTAGAATATTCCTATGTTCGGTTTCTGTAGTTTATTGTGGTCCATTGATTCAAGGAATTCTTTAATTTTTCATACTTAATATTGAATTTGAAGTAACTTTCTTTGGGTTCATATATAAACAACCTTGTTTTACGAAAGTAATTTTTCGATTACCACTTGTCAGCAAATGACAATTGGGTGTCTCCCTCTCTTTCCGCAGGCATGCTTCGTAGTCCTAGTGTAAAAACACTAGCATGGAATTCATTGCGGTGTGCGATATGTACAAGTTGTATTGGTCTTTTGCACACAGACCTAAAATAGATCAAGCCAGTGCAATAAAAATATTCAACTGTCGGACTGTTGGGGATAGGAAAATTACACTAAGAGTTGCCATGATGACGTCTCGATTGGCTTATGAATGTGACTATGTTTCAAATCATTTTCTGTACTCATAAACTCTTGGGTGTAGTGAGGCAATTAAATGCTGACAAGCACTTTGTAAGCTTTACCCCATTGACTCACACCACAATTGTTTCTGCTCTCCTATTCTCCTGTGGGGAAAACACATTTCAGTATTGTTTTAATATATTCTCTTCTTCACTTCAATGGGTATACATTAGTTTTTATTAACAGTCTATTTGAGATTCATAATCAGTGTATTACTTCATCAACAGGGGCCTTGATAAATGACTGTATAAATGCAATATTTAGTTTGTTCATATTTCATCTGGCTGGCATTTTTATGACATGTCAACCAGTTGTTGTGCTTTCTTATTAAGTATTAACATTAACTCCCCTCTTACCAATAGAAATATATTTATAAGTAGAGTAAAAATCAAACCAGAAACAAGTGAAACAGATAACACACAGTGATCCACGAATTTGAAATAGAGGGGCCAATGGAGTGATAATTCATAGAGGGTCAGACACTTCAGCGCCCCCCCCCCCCCCTTTCATGGTTTGGGCTGAGGGACAAACAATGATATGGTATTTTGAGATAACTGGAAATGGCACTTCTCAGAGAATTTAAATGGTTTTTTTCCCCCCAGAAGTTAGTGGGAGGAGCTGGCTGTGGTCCAATTTAATTTGTCTGAACACATGCATGAACATGCTTATTAAATCATTTGATCAGCGGTTACAATTCTTAACCATAAGGTTTCAGGGTTTGAATCTTGCCCATTTTAATTGTTATGTCCTTATGTGCATCACACACCCATTGGTCTGTCATCCGCCCAGGATCACTTTTGTCACAGGTAGGCAAAGTGCGACACGACAGTATTTTTTTTGCGGCCTGCGAGAACGAATTAAAAACCCTGTTTGGCCTGCCAACTGTCTTTGGCTACAAGAAACACCTTTTTTTTTTTTCACAGCCCGACACCGATCGTCTAAGTAACATACTGTGAATAAAGTGGTATGACAGTTCATGAAGGTTTTCGGATAGCATATTAGACCCATAAAAATTTGGATGTGGTCCTCGGTGTTAAATAAAAAATTCACTTTGTCCCTCCGACCGATATTTATGCCCACCCCGACTTATGGATGGTAGGACGTAGACGTTCTAATATGTTAATATGTAATAGTGGCGGTGAACGTAAGGGGAGATCATATTGTTAAGGAACGTGCTTGGACTACGCCGAATGTTTTCATTTTGAGTTGATTGATGAATGAATTTGAATCCATGACTAGGAATAACTCCCCAGGGGTCAGATGAGGTCGCACATTAAGTGTGTCAATGTATTCTACATCCACAACAATATGTAATGTGAAGTATGCAGAGACTTCAGCATAAAGCAAGATGTGATTTATCATCTCATAAGATACATAAGAAATTTTCATTGGCTACTTTGCATATTGAAAATGGTAAACTCATTAACATTTTCAATTATGAACAATCAATCTAAAATTTGAGCAGGTAAAATTATAAACTAAAATACTACTACTATACTACTATTTTGTGATGTGTAAAATGAGATAAAAAAAACTCATATGCTTTTTTGTCTTAATTTTTTCGTTATAAAAGAATATATCATCTTATAATAAATTTTGCTTTTTTGATATAATAAAATAAAAGTTTGTTATTTAGTGGTTTTGTTTAATATATTTTTCTAATGTTTCTTCTTTTCAACTGTTTTTGATAGGTTTTGTGCATTTATTTTTATTTATATGTACTTTTTATATAGTTTTTATTTATTTATTTTATTTATATGTAGGTGTGTCAAAGCTTGGAACAGCAACAAGAATTCAACAGGTTTTTACTAGAGGTCTCTAGGTAAGTCTGATTAATTTCTAACATAGCCTTCTTAGGAGTGTGGAATAGCTGGGTGGTTAGAGCAGGCGTGCTGCAACCTTTAGTCATACATCACCACTAATTCATGTGGCAGGCTCGCTTATGGTTCTGGTGGTAGAACAAGTCTTTGACTATAAACTAGGCCCAGTGTACACAAATGTGCACTAAAAAGAACCCAGTACCATGGTGTACTGGTCCAAACAGTCGGATCCTTAGGGGATAAAGAATCTTGTACTGAGGGAGCTTTCGATTGCACGAAGATGGTAGGACCTAGAAAGTACGTCATTAAAAAGTCATCTACGCATGCGAGAACGTTGAGTTCTCGTCGTCTGAATTCTAGGATGCAGTTTTGCCCTAATCTATATTGTGCCTAAGACAGTAGGACACTCGCGCATGAGTGAATCAAAAGCTCACCTATTTCTTTGAGCTACCGTGAACACTTCAAAATTTTGGTATAAAGTGCTATCTAACTACATTGCTTGACGATCAACTCTTTCTTAAATTTTTTACTTCCCTTCTTCAGTTTATTTATTTGTTCAAATAATATATTTTTTAATTTCCTTTATGTTTTTTGTAAATTTATTTAAAGTTTTTCAACACCTAGTTATCACCTTCTACTGCATTTTAGAATTTGTTGATACAAGTAAACCCAGATTTTTAACTTTTACAGGGTGATTTTTGATGATATTGTTGCTACTGATAATCTGACGGAGCACATTATGGTAAGTTTATATATTTAATTACTATTAATATAACAAAATTAAATAACATACGAAAATATATATAATTGTTTAATTGTTGCTCTTTTAATGTCATTGTTTATGACTGACAGTGATGTGTTATACACTATAAATTAACACAAATTTTATCTAATATATATTAGATAAAATATGAATAAATGTTATTTATTTAATAAAAAAAATAACTAATTGATTTTAATGTTGTTTGCCTTTTGTAGACGTTCACTAAGAGCTTGGTGAATGCAGATCGCTGTGCATTGTTCCTATTGGACGAAACCAACAATGAACTTTATGCAGATCTATTTGATGAGGGTTTAGAACTCGACGGGAAACCAGTCTTCACAAAGAAAAACCAAATAAGGTATTTTACCTGAATTTATGTATTTCTTTCTTATATTTGATTACACTATCACACTCTATGTTAAAATTAACTATATTCAGAAAGTACAATTGTGTATCAAAATTTCTATTTTCCTTCACTATGTTTCATTTATACCTTAAACATCTAGATGTGTATAAGAGACAGGACCTAGAAAGTACGTCATTCCCTGTTTGGATAATCAAATTTTATTTGACAAAATCATGTGACATGCCTAAATATGGTCATATATACAGCATAATAATAATGTTAAAGTCTTACATAGTGCCTGTCTCTTATACACATCTAGATGTGTATAAGAGACAGTATCTAGGCATGGGGGTACACATCCCCAAAAAAGCTGTTTCCCGACCCCCATTGTAAATGTCCAATGCAAAAAAAATCGCGCTGATGTTGTTAAAATCACCTCATATCACCCTATTTTGCCAACCCCCTTTCATCTTTGTGCCCCCATCAAACAACCCCCTCCCCCATTAAACAACCCTCCCCAATTTCAAGACTCCTAGGAATGCCATGCTGCATTTAACAGACGTGGACCATAGCACCCAATTTTTTGGAAAAAACTCAGGTAATAAATCTTGCTGGTTTGTTGAAGATCTTTGGGTTCCTAAGTTAATTTATTACCACTGAAACTTATGAGATTACGTTTAGAAGAAAGTTATTGTAATGGGTTGCTTTGTTTAAATTCCGATGGCTATAATGTCACTAGCCAGCCATTTTAATTTGAGGATTCTTTTGTTAACTCTCAATAGACATTCTTAGAACCAATTAAGTTAAGTTTATGGAGCTGCTGACAGCTCCCTCTGGACCATCTGACATCACTATGGACTGTTTCTGCTAATGGAAACTTTTGCCTCATGGACTGACTCTTGACTCCGTTCAATTTCAGATTTTCCGTTGAGAAGGGGATAGCAGGGCATGTAGCTAGAACTGGCGATGTGGTCAACATTCCAGACGCATACAGTGACTCCAGATTTAATAGGTACATTTTATTAATTTTATTTTTTATTTTATTTAAATTTTTATTTTTTTATTTTTTTTACAGTTCTATAAAAAAAAATAATTTCATAGGGTCTTTGGTTTATTATCATGTACTTATTAGCATTATTTGGAAAATCTTATAAAATAATATTAATAATAAATTGTAAGATTTACATTAGCAGATGATAATCTAGTAAAAGTTATAATTATAAGAAAACCGTAAGTCAAAGATAAAATTCATAATCGTATGCAAAATTGATTCCTTATTTAAGAAATATGTAAAAATTTTATTCTGCAGGGAAGTTGACATAAAGACTGGTTATACAACCAAAAGCATTCTGTGCATGCCGATCCTAAGTCAAGGTTCTGTGATTGGAGTTGTTCAGATGATAAACAAGAAAGGATCGGATATGGCATTTAGTAGCACAGGTGTGTACAGTATGTTTTCTTGCCTTTAGCAAATACTATTTGGTCTCTCCTGGGCTATGGCAGTTGGTCTTTTCTTTTTCATTTTCGCTCTTTTTTTCGTAATATTTTGAAATGTACTTGTATGCGGCAATATTATAAGATAAATATAAATAAAAATAGAAGGCTCTTAAAAACTGGGGATTCCTGAAAACAGAAGAGTTATTACCAACCATTACCAATCTTGACAACGCAGACAGGGTTAATGAAAACCTAATTCAAACGACAGTTGTGTTTGACTTTAGGGAGAGGGGTGAAGTGTTACACTCTAAACCATTGCTGAAAGACAGAAAAGAGGTAGGGAGCTTCCCCCACCCCCAAATAGGAGGTGAAGGGATTCTTGAAAACAGAAGATTTAACAACTGGAGGAGGTTCTTTACAACACAGGTAGGGTGACTTAGGGGGAAGGGGTGAAGGGTTGCACTCTTACCATTGCAAAAAAAAAAAGAATAGACAATTGACATTTTCTTCTTCCTTTCTTTAGATGAATCGCATTTCCGTGTATTTGCTGTGTATTGTGCATTAGCTCTGCACTATTCTAAGGTTAGTCATACACTCACTTGCATAGTCGTTCACTCATTCTCTCCCCCCCCCACTTCTCTCAACTAAATCATTTTTACTCACTCCGTGCTCTACTGTCTCTGAATCATTTACTATATTTATTCACTCATATTCGCACACTCCCTTGCATGCTCCACTCAGTTCCACACTTATAAGGTTTTCTACATGAAATTCTTTTTTTTTTTTTTTCAGATCTATGGAACAATCCTGCGGTCAGACTGTATGCTTGCTGTTGCTACTGAGCAAGTGGCATTCCATATCACAGCAACCCCTGCCCAGCATAAGAGACTGATGGACAGGCCACTACCAAAGACAATTCCACCAGATATTAATGAGTGAGTACACAGTGCATATGTACAGTGGGG